CATTCATTCACTGATTGTGCTGTATGATATTGACGATGATAATGATATATTAATTAATATGAGTTAAATTACCCCAAACGACAAGATGATGAATTACTTTTGGTAAAATTAAGGATAGCTACACCATGTAAAAAAGCAAATTAAGATTTTTTTTAAAAAAAAGATTGAAACAAACAAAAAAAATAAAGCAAAAAAGCAAAAATAAAAAAATTATGTTTCTATATTTTTACGGATTTAGAAAAATTGGAATAAAACGTATCAAAATTAAATGACAATAATGATCGATTTTAGTAAAATTGAATATGTCCAGTAAATATGAATAATTGTGTATTTTTATAATGCATTCAAAATTTAAAGTAGCTTTATAATTTATATATATTAAGCATTGGAAATTAAAATTTTTTCGTACAATATATTAAAAATTTACATTATAGAAAATAAAATAAAAAAGAAAGGATTTTTATATTTGCAATACATTACATTTAAAATGCCGACTGAAACATTTCAATGAAATTTATTAATATGTGAAACGAAATTTTTATTTTAAACAAATTGATATCATAGAATAAACCAATTTATCATCTTGCGACTATTGATTAATTGCAGTGCACTGGATGGAGAATAAAGTTTAATGAAAAATTAATTAGTACAAGTCAAATTTTCGACAGCTGCATGGAATTAAGAAAGTAATTTATCTTTTGTAACTTTACGCAATATGTTACTGCCTCCTATATATTTATTATTCTATTCCAAAGATTTTCCATTTTAAGTTCAAAATTTTAGCAAAAATGAAAACTGTAATTTTGGCAGAGAAAAGCGAAAGATAATAAAATTATGGTAAGTAATATAACAATAATAGTAATAATAATAATACATTACATTTAGTTAATATTACTCGGAATAGATTCAAATCCAATTTGTTGTTTTTTTTTTATTTTCTATTTCACTAATTCATGAAAGCCTTACCTCTCTCCATCCAATCTTTTGAATCTTTTATTATCCGTCGACGATACAATCAATGGTCATCCATTGAAATATGAAACAATGAATGCATGGATGTATACAAACATCTGTATATTAATTAAATCTCTCACCTGTCCCTTAATGCTTATTTCTACTCGATATAAACAATGAATTTTGTTTCTCAAAAAAATAAAATTATTTAATTTTTTTTTGCTTTTAAAAACAACAACAATGAACGGAAAAAGAAAAAAAAGCTAGATTTTAAGCAGTTTTACAATCAAAGTTGAATAATCAATAGAGGAAAAAAAATTAACCAACAAAATATACGGGTTAAGGGTTAAAAATTATGGGTTTAAATTAAAAACGCTAATTGTTGCTTTAAAAGTAACAATTTTCCACTATCTATGTGAGAAAAAAAACTCGGAAAGAAAGCAAATGTTAAAATGTTAAAGAAAAATTTGCCATTTTTTCTTTCATTTTTTTTCTACGAAACAAGTAGGAATTTTTAAAGAAAATTTCTCAAAATGTAATCGTCAAATGATTTGGAATTTAGAATTTTTCTTTGTCAGTAAAAAAAGAAATAATCGAATCTGAATAATTTGATTGAGAATTATTAGTAATATTCTCGTCATTCGTATAATTTATTGTCACGTCAATATTTTGAATGAAATTTTGGAATTGAGTGAATTTCAGGTGTTTTATCACACAGAGAATAGCTTTTTCATCGATTGGGTAATCCGAAAATTATTCCTTCTTCTCAGAAAAGTTGAAAGTTGAAAAAAAAGATTTCATTGTTGTGAGTGTAAAAATTCGAATAAAATTCACCAAATAAATAATTTATCTGAAGGTAACCATTAATAGGAAGTTATTTGGTAGTGATGATATAGTGATAATAATGTGACAACGATGCGTAAATGTCACCATTTGATGTCATGATAATAATACGACAGTGACGATCGATGTCACTCTCTCCCTGAATTATCCCAAATTCCAATGAAAAAAATCACACAAGCATTCCATATAATTTTACATCATCCCATCGATAATTATATATTGGTTGATTTAATAATAGAATAATAAATTATTGTAAAAAAATTTCAGTTTTCAAATTTCATGCTCAAATGAAAAATTTTTTCATTTTTTCCTTTTTTTTTAAAATAGGTATAATATCATCATTTGGAATAATAATATTGTATCTATCTGTAATAAAAATTTTCAAATAAGATTAAATTGCAAAAAGAAAAAGCATTTAATTTAAAAGAGAATTTTTTTTTCTTTTTTTAACTTTTTCCTTGGCTATTGTTCGATGAAGTTTTGTGTTATTTTAATTTACTGAATGGAAGAAGAAATTAGGAAATGATTAAAAGTTAAGAATAGCTAGAAATATTAGCCTAGCCAAGGAAAAAGTAAAAATTTGGCTTAAGCTGAGAAGATAAAATAAAGTGTATAATAGCCAACTATTGCTTTCACATCAATGAGGAAAATCTTTAATTGAATTGAAAGCATATGAATAAAATTTGATTGTTAAAACAAAAAGATAGTAAAACAAATAAAATTCGAAATGAAATTTCATTCTAACAATTTGAAGTAAAAATGATTGGAAAAAATTTACGATTTTACACGAATAACCAAAAGTAAAAGATGACACTGAAGCGAATATAAGAAAATTCAATAAGGTCCTATTTTCTCTCAACTTCTACTCTAATTTCTCATTTGTTGTTCAATCTATTTCGTTTATTAAACCCTTTCAAGAGGATCTTCAAAAAGAAAAAGAGAAAAAATGGAGACAATATTGAAGAGTTTAATTTCAATTACAAAACAATATCACGTGATTAGTGTATATAATAAAATTTAAACTAAATGAAAAGAAAGTAGGAGCAAAATAATTGATTGTATTTTAATAACATAAAATGAGAAAGGTGAAATATAAAAAATATACATACAGTACGTACAAAATTAGCTACTGTTCGCGTATCACGATATACTGAACTGTAATTTAATCATAATTTTTTTTAAATTAAATGTATGAATCTGTGCCGCGCATATTTCACTGTTTCTTTTTTTCTTTTTAATTTTTTATTTCGAAAAGTTTTAATTCATCAAAGAGATAGAAGCATTCTAATTAAATCAATTTTTCTAAAAGCAAAATTTCAAAAAAAAACTGCAATACTTATCTTGCTTTTATTATCACTTGCATCTATGTTAATGATGTGTGCATACACATCTTGCATGTGCTTTTAAAATAAAATTAAGTTAAATTGAATTCATTCAAGAGGAATTGAGCAGTACCAAATTTAATTAAAGTAAATATATTGCATCAAATTGAACGGATTGAACTAAACTATGCAGAATTTAAATAAGTGATTAAATTGAACTGAACAAAATTTAAAACTGTATGTTAAAGTTTACATGTATAAAAATTCCAAAGGAAAAAGTCACAACATGTTGAATTTTTTTAATGCATATACAAATGTAAACAAAACAGAAGTATGTTAAATTTAATTAATTATGCGTATTTTGTTAAAATCAAAAATAGGAATTTAAGGTACATACAAGCAAAAAATATTGCGAATAGTACATTAAAAATTAAAAAAACGACAGAGAGAAATGAGGATCCATTTATTAGTCTTCTTATATTACAATTTTAATTTTTTATGACAAAATTTGAGCTCAGTTTAATGGAAAATTAAATTTGTTATTGAATAATAATTCTATTTAATTTTTTATCTATACTATATTGAATCTTTTCAAATAGCTTAAAAATTCACCAATTCTCGCAGTTTATATAGCAATATTTTTCAT